AATGAAAATGGAAGGGAATTAGGCACAGTGGGAGCGCTTAGGTAGTGTTGGAGATAAAGTTTGGCTTCTGATGGTATGATAGATCATACAATTTGGGCATATTTTTAGTATAGGCTCTAAAAGACAGTGGGAATGGGGCTGTCAGAGGAAGCAGGAGGGCAGGGCACAAATGATGTTTGTTAGCTGCAGTAAGGGCAGATACTGTCCTCTCTATGTCCCAGTAAGGAGGTGAGTGAGGCTTGAGAATGTGGTGTTATCACCTTTGACATGTCATGGAATCACAGAATGCTTAAGGTTGGAAGGGACCTCAGAGATCATCTAGTCCAACCCCGCTGCTCACACAGGGTCACCTAGAGCACATGAGGAGTTACCGCTACTGTTTTATGCCTACAGCCCAACTTCGCTAGATAATTTTCAGAGGTTTGAGACATATTCTGCCCTTTAGCATATATTGGCTAATAAAAGCACTTATTTTTTTTGTCTATAAATTACTGTTCAGCTTGCCTGCCTTTCTGCACAAGTGCATGATCTTCATGCTCATGTTACTGTTACGATAGGGATAGCGTCCCAGATTTGGGTCATGCGAGTGTGCATGAAGGAGAAAAGCTCAGAAGGGAAGAGAACAGCTGAATGTACTGGGCTGCCTTTGAACAAGTGTGGGATAACTTCCCAAAGAAATTCTGTAATTCTGACCGTCGGATAGCTGATAAGGTAGCAAACAAGCTTGGAGCTTTAATTCACTTGTCTACTATTTTCATATTCCTGACATGGGGCATTCTTTATACAATACATTTTTTGTTTCTTTTGCCATGGTTGTGCTCTCTTCTGGAGTGGGAGAACATTTCATTTGGAGGGTGGAAATGGAAAGAAATAATCCAAGAGCACTAGCAGATGCCCCATTTTCGCATATCTACGCCAGTTGTTAGTACCCTTTACCTGCTGTGTGTCACTGTTCTTACAGAACTGTCCACGGAGCGTTTTGTGTGAAGACTTTTTAATTTGCCTCAGGCAATATTTGCCAAGTGAGTTTAATGTCAAAAATGTAAACTCCTCAAGCTAATTTGGCTGATTTGGTCTCAGATGAATTGGGTGACTTCACATAAACTGCTCCGCTGGTGAGTACATCTGTGCTGAGCGTCCCAGTGAAGGTCCAGGAGGACACCCATGAGTGAGATACTTTTGCCCTTGCTCTAGCTTTGGGATGGAGTGCACATGAAAGTCCAGGTAAGCCTTCTTTAAAATCTAGTCTTCTGGTCTTAAATCTAGTCTAGTCTCTTTCCTTAAGTTGCAGATCTTGGTTCAGTTTCTTCCTGTCCCAGACTTCTTTGGCGAGAGACTTGATTTTAAGAGGCATTTGGGCCATTTAAAGAAGGTCTCAATTTCAGAGGATACTCAGCCCTCTCTGAAAATCAGGCACTCCATCGTGTACTTAAACAGGTTGCTCAGTATTGAGAAAATAACACATTTAGTCTCAGTTTTACATAGGAACATCATAACAGATGAATGGGAAAACAATCTGTCAAGGTGTTTGCCTTATCTCTGTTATTAAAACCCTCATTCATAACAATAAAGATCTTTATTGTTAAGCATATAGGAATTCCAGGAGGTAGTAGAAACAGAACCTATGCAACTAAAGAAGAAGTATTTTTAAGGTTTGAGGTTGGTTTTTTTTTCTTCAGTGGAAAGATCTGATTTTTCCTCCACTATTGTACGCCGAAGATGGAACTGTCATAGTGACCTGCAAATCCGCATTGGAATTGGTGAAAGCAGAAGACGTCTGTAGGCAATTAGGAGACCTATATAGGGAATTGCTTTACTGCACTGGCTAAGGCCATCTATGACATCTCTGGCAGCCCTTATTTTTAATGAGCACCCGTATCTACCAATGTTATAAAAAGCAAATAGGAGTCATAATGGGTGCAATGCATTGTATTAGCTGAAACTTGATGAAACAGATCAAATAAGGTGCAACTAATTGAGAGTGCTAGAAAATTTTAAATGCCAGCGTTAGTTCCTTGTATTTTTACAGATGATTTTCCTAACAAAGGGGTGAGCACAAGGAACGTAGCAAGGACCTTTGCAGCCTTGAGCTTCTGTTTTGTCCCATTTGGCCTGATGTGGAGGAGAGAAAACTGTGGAGATAAACTGCAATAAAAACAGTGGAGAGAAGGGAAATTTTGCAGGAAACAACCTGCTTTTATAGGTGCCACTTCATCCTGAAAAAATTGGTGGTGCTCAAGGGCTGCATGGGAAAGCCTGTCAATGGTCAGCAAGTGGTAAGAGGAGCCAGGGAGCAGCTGCACGGAGGAATAGTTCTCCTACAAAGACTAAATTTGATGTTAAAAGTAATAAATGAAAATAAAAAGGAGTAACTGAGGCATTTTGGAACATTACTGATTGTCAGGATGACTCCTGATTTCTGTACAGCATGGAATTTTAGGCTTAGGTGATTTAAGGCTCTTCTAAAAGCTTAGCAGTTCTGGCAGTGGCTAATCACTGCTATTTCCCATCCTATTTCTTTCCAGATGTTCTGTGATAAATTGGAACACTTTATTTTCTCCTGAAACATCATTATTGACATAAGAAACGAGCTTGCCGGAGACGAGTGTTTCTCAGAGCAAGTGCCCTGAAGTTTCCCAGGTGCTGACTGGCACCCTTTCTATTGGTTTTGGATAAACCTAAACAGATTCCACATCTGTTTTGGCATCTGACTTTGTAGCTAGTGGGACCAGATGTTTTCTTCCGGGATGAAATACGGATCTGCAGGCAGCAGCAGCCAGAAGGCTGCATTGCTGGGTGCTCGTGCCGCGTCCCTAAAGATGCTGAATCCCGTTCTTCATATTTTGGGGGGACTGATGACAGTTTTTGTGTCATGCCCAGTGCCCAGTCACATGCAGATAGACACGAGGCCCAGTTTGTCTGTCTGTCCTGCCAGCTGATGGTCTCAGGGACCAGCCCTGGCGTCTAAGTCTGGTATGTGGCTTGCTCTGTTAAATGATCATTTCCAAACCCAAAGCATGTTTGGCTTTGTTTATTTCTGGAATTTAACTTGGAATTACTTTTAATGCTAATAGTTAGTAGTTAGTAATATGGTTATATATATTACATTGTATGTAAAGGCTTTGTTTTTCTGTTTGTTTTCTTTTTAAACTAAAATTCGGGGTGTGTGGGGGGAGATGCTTCAAGTGCTTCAAAATACAGAGGGAAACAGTTGATAACTCTTTAAATAAGGCTTTTAGAGGTGCAGGAGGGGAGAAATTGGAATTGATTAATGACTGAGCAAGAAAAGACTGGGATGATGTTTATCCCTCTACAGTTGTTCCTTTTCATGGAAAAAAAAAGTTTGCTGTAAGAGCACTTTTCCTTGCAAGCAGGATGGGAAATGCAGAAGTAAATTACAGAGAACCACAATGTCTCCTTTCGGAATAAATTTTTAATGAGAACAAGGGTTGTGCTCAGTAGAGTCACAAGGACTGATCCTGACTGCAACTATCTGGTTGTTAATTCAAATGTATAAAACCTTTGCTTGGGCTTGAAAATGCAGAGCAAACAGCCTCAAGTGGTGGTCCATATTAAGTCAGTGACAGCTGTCTGTGAGTCATGATAATGTAAAAGGTTTTTTTCCAAGCCATTTCCAATCATTCAACCATCCATCGGCAAGCAAACAGGAATGTTATTTTGTTAGGCAGTTCTCGGCGATGTGGGGGCTTTTGCACTGTGTCCAGACTATATTCCCTCTAACTCACGTCCAACATAGAACAACTTTTTTTCCCTCCTTAGATCTTAAAGAAGTTTTAAATTTTATGTTATTATGTTATGAAGCAATTTTATGTTGGAACAATGTGTAAAAATACTTTTGAAACGTGTTCAAGTCAGTGTGTGCAGTCATGCTATTCACGTGAATTTACTGCGGGGCAATTTTCAAGTGGCCACAGGACCGAAGAATGTGGTCTCTGAAACTGCAGCTCCTCTCTCCAAGAAAATGGGACTGTTGGAGTGGGAAGGCATGGCCCTTATAAGGGGCTCTGAAACAACTGCTGGTTCCTGTCGGTCACACCAGGGAGAGAGAAATCCCCGTGTTATTTCCCGCTTACAATTCGGTCTGTTGTCATATCCAGGATTTCCCGGCCCCGCACTATTTGTCGCTTGGGAGCTCGTTTTGACCCCTCCTCTTGTATCCTTCCACCTCACCAACAGCCAGTGTCCCTCTCTTCCTGAGCCACTTAACCTCTGCTTGCCTGTCCTGAAGATTTCTTCCCTTCCTGCCTGCCTGAAAGTGGTCAATATCAGTTGAATAACTTCCCCTTTCAGCCTTCCATTTGGAAGACAAGCTCTTTAGTTTCCAAAGCAGAGTCATTAAGGCTAAAATACCAGTTAGCTGCTTTATAAGTCTCTTCAGGCTGGACAGAGGTGCCTAACTGGGGCCTCTGAAGCTTCTGACCGACCCACAGCACATTCGTGTATTCAGTGGTTTATCCAAACCATAAAAGAGAGATACAACTAGATTCTCAAATCATTCCACAGCAGCAGGGTTGCCTGCAGCTGAGAATAGAGGAGCTGGTGCCAGGTTCCTAGTACTGCCAGTAATGTAGTTTTTGAACTGGGATGATTCCTAATTTTCTTTCTTTATTTTTTTTTTTTCTAAAATGGAAATAGCAGCATTTACCTAACTGGCATTCACAGTGAGAGATTCAGTGCATGCAGAAAGCTTTCCGATTCATAGATGAAAGACTTGGGAAGCAAAAACCATATTTTTAGTTAAAGCTCTACTAAAGAAAAGTCTCCCATGTTTTGAAATAAAGGAGATTTTAGCCTGTTTGAAATAAACCAAAAGGAAATGACATAAGTACAGTGAGCACCATAGTGATAGACTTAGTTCACAGCCAGCAATCTGGCCTGACAGTCGTCATTATTTCTGCGCCCGGGTCTCCTTTCCTTTGCTTCTGTTTAGATAAGGACTGTAATACAATCTGTGCTCTCTTGTTGTCTTGTTTCTGCAGGCACAGGCTTGCTGCAGGAAGTGGTTTATCTAGTGAGCCAGGGAGCCGATCCCGATGAGATTGGACTAATGAATATAGATGAACAACTGCCAGTTCTAGAGTACCCGCAGCCTGGTCTGGACATCATCAAGGTACAATTTATTTCAAAGAAGTCTTTCAGCGTTTTGAGTGTCTTTTTGCCTCAGCTCTGTATTTATCACTCCATCTCATCCTGTGTCCTTGTCCTTTTCATCACTGGACTTGCTCTGTTTGTTGGAATGATGCAGAGTATTTTTAGGTTACTTGAAAATTGCTTTAGTAAGCTTTATTGTACTGTTATGTTTTAAAACATGGTTCTTGATATCCTAAATGTCTTGGCAATGTATTTCTGCAGCAAGAGTCCTGAGCCTCCCTTGCTTACATCGGTAGAAGCCACCAAAATGAGACAGATTTGCTTTAATCCCATCTCTCAATTTGCAAACTAGGAAATTCAATATTATAAATCTATAGACTCACCACTGTCTGGATTTACAGGTGCAGATCCTTATAGACCCAGGACCTGTGGGTCTACAGACTGTAGTGCAGCCAGGGGAATTCGGCATATTCTACATGAAATGACATCCCCACTGCTCACAACAAGATTAGTGACGTGGCACATAACTCCCGTGTTGGAATGATGAGGCAAAATACTGGGCTCCATCCTAAAAGACCCGCACTGCTTAAAGAATTGAGCCAGCAAAAGCTGGCAGGGGTGGATTCTAGTCACCCCCAACAGGAGCATCAGCCTGCTTTGGGCTGAGAGCTCTGGGGGCTCAAAAATTGCTCCTCTTTTCCATCTCTGTGAGGCCTAGTGCAAGGAGACCCCCAGTGTTACCTTAATGCAAAGAAATGGTGAACAGTGAGTGGGCTTAGTTTGAGACTGCGTGTTGTTACCTGTACAGCGCGCTAGCAACTTGATCTGGTATCAGTTTATGAGGTCTTTAACTACTGGGAGATGATTCGGGTCATAAGATGATTGTTGTCCCAAAGATTACAATGGAAAAATATTCCGTGGGAAAAGCATTTGCGTGCTCACTCAGGTGAACCTGGGGATTGTTTGGCCTAAATCAGAGGATAAAATAAATTGCAAAATTAACATTTGAAAGAGAAGAAATATAGTAGAGGGTTTTCTGAATCTCTCTACATTCAGAACTTCTGAGTTTTTTCAGAAATTTTCACTAGAAGCATCACTGGGAAGAAAGTTAATCTGATGCTAAGAATTTATCACGATACCGTATCTTCCTGAAAGGGTCTTATAAATGGAAGCAATTTGAAAAAGACTGATTTTTGCACACTCAGATTATCCATCCTTTTGATATTTAAGAGTCAGATGCGAGTTGCTGACTCAGTTCCCAGTCCCAGACCCGTGTTAGCTGAGGAAGTGAATTGGTGCATGTGGCACAGTATCGTAAAGGACTTGAAGTGCGATGATTCGGGAGAGCTCAGGATGCAGCCAACACCTCATGCTCAGTAAGAAATGTTTCTCCTTTTGTTTTATTTTAGGAACTGACCTCGCCTCGCCTCATAAAAAGCCACCTACCGTATCGGTTTTTGCCTTCAGACCTCCATAATGGTAATTCTAAGGTAAAAATATTTTCGTGTTTCATTAGATGTACCAGCCGCAGGTGTTTAAATGCTTTGGGAAACAGGGGAAAAAGCTCTTTCAGTCAGATGATTTTCCCCCCTTTCATAGGTAATATACATGGCTCGCAACCCCAAAGACCTGGTCGTGTCTTATTACCAGTTTCACCGCTCCCTAAGGACCATGAGCTACAGAGGGACGTTCCAGGAGTTCTGCAGAAGGTTTATGAATGACAAGTGTAAGGAGCTGTTCTCTCTGCACAGAACAGAAAATTTTCACATTTTTATCATATTTTTACTATATTTTCTCTTTTTTTTTTTTTGTTACACATTTATTTTCATCTCTGTATTCTCTCTGCAGCTGCAGAAATGAACTGGATAAAAGTGCGTTCTGTGTTCCATTTACAGCAAGGAGATTGCTACAAATGCAGGGCTGCAAGGATTGACATTTATCTGTGCAAACTGTGACCATACCTTGTAAATAATTGCCTTACAGTATTTGACCCCATGGGCTCAGTTCCACTTAACTCAAGAAAACTCCTGGTCTACTTTTAGAAGTTTGATTTGCAAGATACCAGGTACTGCATGGAAAGTACTGAGTGTTCCCAGAACCTGTTCGTTTACATGGGAGCTCACTGGGCTCATGCTCTTTCCCAGAGTCATTTCATTACCCAGGACATGGTGGCAAGTCCTTTAATGTTTTTATTTCATCATAAAACTCAAGGTTTGTCTCTCGCAAGATGCGAGTTAATGCACAGAAACCTTTCTCTCACAGGAGATTGATCTGGACTGCATCAGATTTGCTGTCAGCCCCGTGAACAGGCAATTGGGTAAACTTGTAGGCAGTTGCTTTCTGAAAATACACCACTGTAGCAAAAGTACTAAAACCTGCATTACAGCAACTTCTCAGCTACTTAACCAGGCTTTTGCCAATGGATTGACATACTTTTTAACCAGCAATATAAAAAGCTTATTATCAAATTTTCTACTGCCCTCAGTTTCTCTAAAATCTTACCTTATTGTTACAGTAAGAAGTTGCCAGCAGCCTTGTTCTCTGCTCTGAGACCAGGATCTCCTCTCAATCATGTGCAGCAGCTTTCCTTCAATATGGAATTTGGGGAAACTGATGTCAAAGGAACTGTATAATACTGAAGGGTAGGGAAAAAATAAAAACCAGACAGTGATGGTTAATTAAAAGGCTTTATAAACCCGTGTTGTTTTCTTCTGCAAGTGTATGCAGAAAAGGTAAATGCTTTCCCAGTCCAGTCCAACCCACCCACAGCTTTTTCTGTTGCATTCCCTGAAAATGGGAAACTTGTCCAAAGCCCACAAGCTGTGACTTCGAGAGTAGTGACAAGTCGAAGGCCTTCTAAGTTGGGAGGAAGGTTCTTTATTCTCTTATATAAGTGTACCGTGAGTCATCTTGCAGCAGGTAGCTGCTTGATCACAAACCTCCCAGAGGCAATAAAATATTACAGCATTTTCTGTGTGGCCATAATTGTTCAAATGGAATGTTTTATAATGCAATAAATTTAAAATTTAGCTAAACATTTTAATCTCATGGAAGCAATGCAAAGAGCTGAAAAGGGGCTTTTTTTTTTTTTTGCCTAAAAGTCCAAGAAGTGCTGGTGGAGAAGCACTGAGCCCACATGACACAATCCCACTCTCTTTAGCCCTCCTCAAACCTGGCCATCTTGAAACAAATTCATTGCATGTCAGCTCTGTTGTTTGAAGTTGGATGGGCAGGGGATTAGTCTTGAATATGTTAATTTTTTAGCATTTCACTCTAAAGCTTGAGGGAATTTCTGAAGTAAAATGAAGGTAAATTCTGTTAGTGCAACTTTGTCTGCCTTAAGAGTAGCTGGATTTTTTTTTCCTTTTTTTGTCTTGACCATTGTGAAACCTTTTGTATGATTTTCCTTAGGAGTATGTGGAGCAAAATAGAAATGGAGTTTTCACATACCTTTATGAAAATGGAAAATGAGTCAGCTTACTTAAAAATGACCTACAGTATAAGACTTTTCGTATGAAAACTGAACCCTTCTTGTAACGAGAATGTCCTGTTTAACAAACTAAATTCTGAGGTCAAAGCTGCTGGGGGCACCGAGCAGGGAGGAGGCGTCAGCTTTTCATCCCTGGCACCCCTGCACCGTGGACCTCCTCACAGCTTGGGATGCATGAGGAGTGCCCCATCACCCTGTGCTTGCAGGGGCACCCAGCACCCACCTTGGAGCCCAGATTTACTGCACTATCCTACAAATACTCTTTTACTTACAGTGCTGTATCTGTACTGTGCTTGAGGTAAAAGGAGGCAAAAGATAGAACACTAAGTAGCATATTGTGACAGTGGATTTTTAGTTGTCTGGAAACAACAGCAGAGCATATTTGTAGGTCTGTTTCCTTTCCTTTCTCTAAATAAGAAAGGACAGTGGTTGTCAGCAAGTTGTTGCCCTTCACAGAAGATGTGCTATCCAGCTGTGCACTGCTGCTGATCTAGCTCCTAGCTGAGGGAAGCTGCAGTCTATACGTTAATTGCAGAACTATAAACCTCTGACCATAAACCACCCCAGTTCTTCTCTTTCTCCTCTGTTCCTTTCTAAAGAAGGATTAATAACATGTGTTCATATTCCTCATGTAAATCCTAATATCTTCTGTATCTGTAGTAGGATACGGTTCATGGTTTGAACATGTCCAAGAATTCTGGGAACATCATATGGATGCCAATGTACTTTTCCTCAAGTATGAAGATATGCACAAGGTAAGTTAGTTCTAGCAAAGAGATACTTTGATTACTTAAGTGTGATCACATTTAAAACACGACATGAAGTCAGAAATTTGGTTCCTGTGTACGACATCTGATCCCATTTATAAAGCACAGTCATCCTGGAGCTTCCATGGATCCCCAGCACTTTTGGAAACCCAGCAATGCACTCAGGAATCTGTCTTCCAGAGGCACTTACTGAACTACCAGCACAGGAGGAGAGAAGTGAAACTGCAGAGCTCTTGCTACGCTCAGCCTTGGGCATTCATTTTAAAGCAGTCTCTTACTCCGTGTGCTATACCAATGGAAAAAAAATCTTCATGTTTTGTTATATGTATATGGAATTTATTCTGATTATTTGAGTGTGAATCAATCTTGAAAGCAGTTAGGGGTAAGCATTTGGCATGAGGTGAACATAATTTGGGGGTCCTTATAGTGTATTGGTTAATAAATCAGCTTTTGCATGTCAGAGGTTTGTTGAAAATACTACATAAACTATGTAGATGTCCATTTCTCATTGCAAGGATATACTTTTGAGAATTAATGTAAATATTTCAAAATACAGGATTAACTAACACAGAATTAATGCAATTGTAGGGAAAAACCAGCTCATATGGCTAAACCTGCAGAAAGGTAAAACTGGGATAGAGCTCAATAACGCTGGGTAAATTGTAATTTGAATTTAAACTCAAGAAAGCTGGGCAAGTTATAAATGTAATTTAGTGTATTTCTGACAGTGGAATTCTGAAGGAGAGTGTCACATATCAGGAATGGTTTTTAAAGTTTTGAAGCAATGACTTCAAAAGTCATCGTTTTCAATAACAAAATATTAACTGTCCCCTGAATGATGCTGCTGAAATTCGGGAGCATCACAGTACCTTTCTTCTTCCTGTTAAACACTCCCATTTTTTTCTTGCCATCCCAGAAAGCTATATTTCTGAGGGTCCTTTTTTTAGGGGTCTGGATACATAATTTAAGGACTGCTCGTTCTCAGAGACCTTACCTTTTCCTTTCTATCTACATGAACGCATTTCCAGAAGCGGACAGTGAAGGAGGAGCTGTTCTAACATTCATGGTCATGTATTTTATCCAGACCAAAATGAAAATAATTCCTGTTCCCACCCATCCCCTCTCTCCTATATGCTGGTATTCCAAAGTGATCTCTTAAGTCAGGAGAGAAACCACAATTACTTTGCAGTTCCCTGCTCTCTAGGAAGCATCGCTGAAGATGCTACCTTGTGTGATTAGGTTCTCAGTCCGTCTGTCTGCCTTCCCCAAATACTCTGGAAAGTGCAGGTTTACTTTCAGCCAATCTGAAGCCTGGTAAAAAATTCAGATGCTGATGCTTCTGCAACGTAGGCATTTGTATTTTGCATCTGCAGCAGAATGCAACTGATTTTAATCTTGTTGAAATAATAAAACAAAATCCAGCAAAATCAGCTCAGACGTTCTCTTGCAGGATCTAGCCACAATGGTCGAGCAGCTGGTGAGGTTCCTGGGGGTCTCCTACGACAAAGCCCAGCTGGAGTCCATGGTGGAGCACTGCCACCAGCTCATCGATCAGTGCTGCAACGCGGAAGCGCTTCCCGTCGGCAGGGGTACGTGCCAAATCCCCAGGAAAACTCTCCCTGTAGAAGAGGCAGGAGGCAGCTGAAACAGCTCAGTAACCTCCAGGATGTGTTAAGGCAAAACACTGCTGTAGAAAGGACGGGAGGAAACTGCTGGTGCAATAGGACGTTAGTGGCTTGTTTGGTTAAAAGACTAGAGAGGAATGGAAATACTCAAGCTCAATGGTGCGCATTCGGCACCAGCCAAAGGTGCCCTGGCAGAGGGGCTGTCCTTGGCTGACCTCTGCATGTAGGGCAGTGGGTTGCCCTCCTGCAGGCCGAGCAGGTGGCTTGGCTCCTCCGGACCTTTGTCATATCAAAGGCCACCGAAAGGCCACCCTGGCCTGTGTGTTCCATTAAATCCAGTTTTCCGGAAAAGCAGGTAATACCAATTTGAAGTCATCAAATGACAAGGACCTGTAGGTTTTTACTTCTGATTTTGTTTGTATGAGCTTTTTCTTTTCTTTGCCTACATCAGTTGCTTAAAATATATATCATCTTTCTGACTTGCCTTTGTCGAGGTGTAGCTTCCAGCTCTTTATTCTTGTGAGGCCTTTCTCTAGGAATCTGGAGGGCCTTTTGATGGGCTGAAACATCTGTCCTTTGAAAACAGCAAGAAAACTGATCCATTCTCAGTCTTCTTTCTGAAGACAGAGTGAACTCCGTAAGTTCCCCTCCGGTTATTTTTTGTCTACTGCTTTATAGCGCTTACCAGCTCTTCTTAAAAATGAAGGCTAGATGGAGAGTTCCTGTGTCAGCCTCACAAATACCTTATCCAGACATAAAATGACTTTTAAGATTGGATTTTTCTCTCCCCTCCTCTGCTCTTTTTGTCCTTCCACATCAGCCTTTTTTGCTAGGGTATCAAACATGAAGCTTGTCACGACCACAAAAGCTTTTCCAAGAAAATGACTTAGAGGTTATTATCCCTTACTGTTATGGGAGCATGGTCTGAGTACTTTGCTCTTAGGTGTCTGTGCCCTTTCCATGTTACCTCACGGACATTCTTCTCGTTACCTGCAAATTTTATCAGCTATAATTTTATAATTAGTTACAGATCCCCGATTAGTATAACAAATATCATCAGTCCTTCTTGATTACTAACCCAGAATTAGCCAGCTGCCTGTTCACTATTTTCCATTTTATTGAAATTAAATAATTCTATTAAAAAGGCACTAAAATCAAGTGCCATACAAAACTCTGTTGAGTCTTTGCATTCACGTTTAATCAGCCAGACTGTAATCTTATCAACATTGAACCAGATTTGTTTGAGAAGATCTTTCTCCCATGAAAGCAGGTTCACTGGTATTTGTTACTGCCGTTATGTCTTTCCTGGCAGAGCTTTGTGTTGATTTTTTGTTCCTCTGCTGAGACTCTGCTCAGGGTAGCTGACCTGCTTAATTGTTTGTGCCTTGGCACTGGCTTTTCAGAAGGTCAGGGCTTGCCAAGAGCCCTTGTTCAGAGAGGGGAAGACACCCCGCGGGCAGTGGCGAAACGTGCTACATTTTGCCTTTGCTAAAGGTAAGGGCAAGGTTCTACCAACAACAGAGCTACCTTCTCCTCAGCTCCCTGGCATGAAGTTGCACCAACATCAAGGTTCATTCCTCAACCTTGTGCTTCTGAGATCTGCAGAGTGGTAGCGTGGCCGCCGTCCTGCCTTCCTGGGAAAGGTGGCGAAAACCCAGGAGGTGGTGGCAAAAGAACAGTGAGAACCTGAGAAGCCCTGTGCCCTTCCCCGGTCTCTGCCAGCCAGTTCACATCCACACGGACAAACGGGAGGGCTCCCGCTTTGGCTGCGTGCTCCATTCCAGCCCGGATGCCCAGTCAAGGATCCAGAGCTTATCTGCTACAAATCTTTCCAAAAAGAAGGATCCACCTAGTAGTAGAGAAGGAAGGGAGCTACAGCAGTTAATTTAACGTTTTGTCATTTGTTCTCTGTATGCTTTTTATTGAAAGTATCCTTGTTTTGAATTTCTTTTGTTTGCTGTCTCTGGCTTTTACAATGTTTTGTTACTTCAGAATGCAGCTTCATTAAGAGATGCTTTTGTCCTCTTCTGTTCATTTATGCAACAAAGAAGTGTGGCAATAACATGATGTCTTATTGTAATTTGTTTCAAATATTTTAATTTGTCATTTGTTACATCTCTTATTATTTTGCTTTATTTTAGTTTTTTTCATTTTTTTTCTTTTAGCACATTTACTCTGAAGATAATCCTGAGCTGCTGTGAAAGCAGAACAATGATTAGATATGTTACTTATATTTGACTCATATCACATCATAATTTACACAGTTGCATGATTCAAATCATTAACCAGGTGGGTGACTTTTTTGACAAGTTATCAATCCATATGGTAAAAAAAAAAATGTTACAAATAATCCACTGCTTATGTCCTTTATAAAACTTGTCATCATTTGTCCTTAGGTATTGTTAGGGAGATTCAGAAAAAAAAAAGAAAAAAAAAAAAAAAAAAAAAAAACCTGCTTATCTTTTCCAAGCAATGGATGAAAATATTTTATCATTATTGAAATGGAAAAGTACATTTCTGTGTTTCATGCTGTACTTCATGCTACTTGCCAAAGGAAAACTGAAATGAGTATCAGATGTTCCCAATTGCGAGAGTTTTCTTGAAGGCCTGTTGGATAGAGGAGAGATTTGGCCCCAACCTTGACTGACACCTTCTCTGTCAGTGTCAAGTCCTTGCAATCTTTGGAGCTTGGCTGTGTGCTACGACACTGTCGGCTCTTCCAGAGTTCCAGGAGAGCCCCGATTTCATGGGATGGCCCTTGTCACACATACTCATTCATCATGTTAAAATTTGTGGAGATTCCAGATAGTTTGGGCCTTGAACTCAGTCAGAGACTTGCTGCACAAAGGCAATGGTAATTCATTTAAACTAAATGGGTATTCTTCATATGCATCAAATAATATTTGATTGAAATATCGAGTAAATAATTAGGCTCTCTGCACGTGGTTTTGTTCTTGTTACAATTAAACTCTGTAGGAGCATGGTCCCAGTTCTCCCTCCATTTATTCCTGTTGCACGAGCCTGGATTTTGTTGTTACTATGTCTCAGTATAAATAAGACAGTTACTCCATGGGGCTGATTGATCAGCAAGTAACCCTGGCTGACTTTGTTTGGGTTAAATAAATTTAAACTGCAATGAAACAGTAGTGAAGAAGGTTGCAACATTTGACTAGTAACTTCAGTGGTGCTGTCGGGTAATGTTATTAGTTGGGTTCAATAGAACAGAAAAATATTCTATACCTGAAAACGTGTTCAGCGTCCACAGTGCAGCCTCCAAAACCTTCCTGCACCTTGTGCACAAAATGAAAAGTGTCATGGATATTTTCCCTACATGTAATCTAGGCACGCACTCATACTTGACAAATTGCTTTTCTCCCTTTTGAGACCCTTAAATGCATCTGTTGAACTTATATTCACCTCGAAGCATAAATATAATAGAAATTAGTGATATTTTATAAGAATAAGAAAAATCAGTTTAATACTCAATATTTGATACTGCTTTTGGATGGTTCTCCAACCAGGTTATACTGAAGGTACAGAAATCTTGAAATACGTAGCTGTTAATTATTAGTTAGCAGTATTAAATGACCATTATTGGCATGAAAATCAGAACCCCCCAATTAAATTAATAACCAAATCAAAATCTGCATTTGTTATTGCTGAATATTAAAGTTAAATTAAAATGATTCAAGTTATAGAGCACAATCTCCCCAGATTATAAATGTTTCCTGTACAATACTCACCCATGCAGGCGGCAAGGTGAAGGGCACCTATTTTAAGGCTTTATGGGTGTTGTAGCAGGGTGAACCAGGGAGATGTGGAACCATCCTTAAATATCATTAAATTTCAATGAAGGTTCAGGCTTACTAGCATCTCCCAGAGGCTATTTTGAGATTTATTGTCCTGTCATGTCAGCTGCCTGACTTGTCTTCCCTCTCTGTGTTTCAGGACGAGTTGGGCTATGGAAAGACATCTTCACTGTTTCAATGAATGAGAAATTCGATTTAGTTTACAAACAGAAGATGGGAAAATGTGACCTCACATTTGATTTTTATTTATAAAAAGATGCATGCCTATGATATCCAAATATAGCTAGAAGTGCTTTATGCAGTCATTTATTACTTGCTGGACAAACTCCTGTAGCTATTATGTGTGTTGAGATTTAAGGAAAGGAGAACAATCTAAGTAAACCATAGCAAATACAATTATCTTTGATCCTACACAGCTGTTTATCTTTTAGTATTTTAATCCTTTGTCCACATGCAGGAACTTCCTAGACAATACTAGAATAATCAGCTGTTACGGAATGTATTATATGCGTATAAGGTATATATCATATATGCAACTAGAATGTACACACCCTTTCAGCCCCACGTTATTTAATGTGTTTTATAGAAGCTTTTCACTAAAACCTAAAAATAAGTCCATAAACCAAATAAAAATTATTTCAGAGGGAAACAAGTTAACAGGCCAAAACTGTATGCTAGAATGATCTCAGGGGTTAATCGTCACATTTATTTTTATAGCTGGTATATCAAGTACAAATCAATCCCATTCCAAAATAGGACCTGGTTCAAGTGGGGCTTCCATTACATTCTCTCACCTGCATGACTTAGGCGCAGGCTCCGTGGGCCGCCTTACTCCGCAAGCCAGGCCTTGTTAGGAAAGACTGCTGTGACTGTCCCTGTGGTGCCCAAGGCGCCCGTGCTCTCTGGTGCACCTGGTTTGGGGGTGGTTAAAGGTCAGCTCTGTGCAGAAGTCCAGCAAACAAGAGCATCTCGCGCTCCCAAGGCTGCCCCAGGCCCTTAAAATGCAACTTAAACACAGGGCATCCAGTGCAGTTCTCTCTCTTCACAGAGCAGGGTTTCCCACAGAAACTGCCTCGTTCCTCTTGAGACCAGTGGATACAGTAAGAGCAGGTGCTGGCTCTGCTCTGGCTCAACCCAAATCCTCAAAGTGCAGGGCACAGCTCATGGTCGGTGCTACGGGATCCCATCGCGCCCAAGGGGAAGACGGATGGAGGTTTCAGCGTAAGCAGGCGCAGGAGACAGCAGCGCTGAGGGAAATGAGTTTAAGAATATGCCACCAGATGGAAGTATTGCACAAATATTCAGCCAGAATACAGTCTTGAGAATTATTAGCAATGAACCGCCTGCATTATTGTCAAAACTAAGTTCATTTCTATAGTGCTTTTTATTTATTTATTTATTTATTTATTTATTTATTTGATATGACAGTTGCACATACAGCCTGCAACAGACTAGTTTCACAGTAAAATTCTCCAGAATTATTTTATCATTGTTCCTTTACATAATGAATCTATGTTCTTTAGGTTCTCAGCTGCAGAAGGCCCATTTTTGCTAGTCCGCTATTCTGTCACACTATAGGCCGTGAGGAAGAACTAGCAGATATTTAGTGTTTCAGTTATGTTGGGAAACAAACTGCCGGTTCAGCAGCTGGCAAGTAGTGTAGCATGACGTGGCTTGACAGCACTTTTCCTTGTATATTTGTGAGTGAAAATGCTTTTGGTGAAATTTCATTTCTATTTTTATATTTTTAGTACTGTATGAATATTAAGCACTACACATGATACTTCTGTGCTTGCTTGCTTCTTGAATAAAAGATGTGCTCCATGCACTGTGGTTTGCTCTTTTTGTAAACCTCTTGTACAAGCCACGTGGGCTTCCTACAACCACCAGGCCTCTCCTCTGCACACATTTCTGTCCTTGCATAGATAGTGCACAGGCCCTATGCAATCCAGTCACGACCTTACAGAATATTATCTTATACCTCCCAGGCCACTTTATTCTGAGGAATTCTTTTCTGTATCGTACAAGAGATCAAACCCACAGAACAAGAACGAGCAAGGAGAAGAGGAAAGAGAAAGGATGTTTCCAGTGCCTTGCTACAGAGGAAGGCATAATCACCCAGCAGGTCCTACTCATTACAGGGAAATTTCATCATCCTCCAGACTCTGCTGTCACACTAAATCCCGAGGACGTGAGCAGTCCTGCTCAGCCACCTCAAAGGCTTTTTGTATTCCCCAATACACCCGGGAACGTGACTGCCATTACCAGGCACAACTCGTCTCTTGTTACACCTTCACAGAGTCTCCAAGGTGTACACGGAGGGAAAGCCTCTTTGATACGGATAGCAAATGAAAAAAAGAAAAAAAGGATTTTTTTTTTTTTTAATCTCAGCATTCGAATCTGTAAGTTTCTTCTGCTGAGGTAACTGCTAGAAAATGAGAACAGCAAATGGAAGCCAATTCTGGTGAGAGCCACTTAGTGAAATGCAGAGCCCGCTAAATGATGTGAATCTGCAAGGTGCGGGAGAAGGTTTTGCACGCCTCCAGTGCAGTGGCATCCCAAACCAGCGGGCACCCCACTTCCCATACACATCCCAAACCAACGGCACCCCACTTCCCATACACATCCCCTGCGTTGGTTCGAGCTGCCACACGACCTCGCAGGACACTGATCCCTCGCTCCGCAGCTGCACGTGAAGCGTCACTCAAAAGGCCTCGACCGTCGTTCTCAAGCTGTTGATTTTGGGGAGAAGCCGCACTGAGGTGCAGAAGCAGGTCCCAGGCCTGGGTCCTGTTGCCCGTCATCCCTGGGAGTGTCCGCTGCATGTATGTTCAGCAGTGAAGAGGAAGGGCATCTTTAATGAGTAATCATTAAAGATTTTCAGCCCTTTTGTGTAAACATAAAAATATGACATGGCAGCAACAGCTCTGACTATAAAGTATTTATAGGCCTGAGTCACCATCACCATAAGCCATTCAGTCTTGCCTGGCTTAAAAATATTTTTGAGTTATTTGAGTATTACATTTGAGTATGAGCAAAGGCTGAGGGAGCTGGGCCTGTTCAGCCTGGAGAAGAGAAGGCTGAGGGGGGACCTGATCAGTGTCTATAGATACCTCAAGGGAGGCAGTGAGGAGGAGGGGGCGGCCTCTTCTCACTGGTGGCCAGCGACAGGACAAGAGGAAACAGCCACAAACTGCAGCACCAAAAGTTCCACAGGAACTTAAGGAAACACTTCTTGACAGTGAGGGTGGCAGAGCCCTGGCACAGGCTGCCCAGGGAGGCTGTGGAGTCTCCTTCTCTGGAGATCTTCCAAACCCACCTGGATGCCGCCCTGTGCCCCGTGCTCTGGGTGACCCTGCGTGAGCAGGGGGGTTGGACTAGACGACCTCTGGAGCTTCCTTCCAACCTTAAGTGTTCTATGATTCTATGATTTATAGCAAAGGTTTGGGAGGACTAAGAGGGAGGACTAAGTAACTGCCTTTGCCTCTCCAATCAGAGGAAGAAGGCTAAGCAGAGACCCTGCTGAATCAAGTCATATCAGAACAAATCAGAAACCAAATGACCACTGAGGAGGGCAAACAATAAAAATGACTCTAAATCATCGCACAGGGAGTGCAATAATCTCAACTCCGGGTCTGATCATTGAATAATCCATTCAATTTCTTCAGCAGACTGCTGTCCTCTAGTGTTCAAATCATGAAATGTGCCCAAGTGACTAATCTTGTTACCCAGCGCAACGCCCAAGGCACAGATGAGGCAGGGAGAATTGTAACAGCAACCCTGCTTTATTCGGACACTGCAGAGGGACCTGCAAAAATAAACATGCGTTTTTTTCGTTTAAAATGCAGAGCTTTCAGCACCATGGGGTTTAGACTTGTGTCATACTCTAGTAAAAATAATTGTCTTATTTGGCCAATTCCAATCCTCATCACCATCATGCGCCGACTTGTCTTCTACAGGTGGCACATGAGTGACATCTAAAGTAACTGCCACCAAGGCATTAAATCCACTGTCACCATCTCTGACCCACACTCCACCTTTGCCAGCACTGAACATAAGATGACATTTTAATCCTGCCTTGAAGCTAACAGCAACACAGCTGGTGCAACACTGTGGGAAGACTTCACCCCTCGCAGGTCTTACATCTGCTCTTACATCTTTGGAAAAGGATCACCCATGAAAGAGGTGAGAACCAAGAGCTCAGGGTTAGAGCCAATTAGAGCCAGCCAATTAGAATAAAATAAAACCTGAGCAAAAAGCTCAGATTTCGAGCTCCACGAGGAAGACAACGTTGCGCTTTTGCCTACACGCGACGCAAACACACGGCTGGTGCCTAGTAAATACGCAGAGAGCTCCTGCAGGTGCAGAGATGATGAGCCGGACCCCCTGCTCAAAGCCCACACTTGCCCCACTGCAAATTTCCTCTCTTTCTAGGTTACTTGTGTAACACTTACTTAATTTGGCACCGGTCCTTCCTGTGGAGCCCCCTCCATGGAGCCTCCATATGCGTAGCCCCACGTGTGCCCTGCCGGCATTCTTGAGGCTCCTTGGGGCCTCCGGGGGATGGGGCCAGGGGCCCTATAGGCCTCCATGCAGCCATCTGGGACCTCCGCACGCATGGACCCAGGGGTCAATCTATGGGCATTTGTGTGCCTATACGTACGGGGACATGAGGGGCCCGATGGGCCATAGTGGGGCCACCTGGGCCCTCCATGTGCATGGGGCCGGGGGAGCCCAATGGGCCTTTGTGTGGCCCCCCAAGGCCTCCATGCGCAGGGGGCTGGAGGGTGAGAGCGGGACTCGGTGCGGCCCTTTGTGGCCTTTGTGTGCAGAGACCAGGGGTGCCCTACAAGCATTCGTGTAGGGCCCCCTGGGGCCTCTGTGTGCACAGGTCTGGGGTCCCTGTGGGCCTTCTCACAGCCCCCGGAGGTCTCCACGTGCACGGAGGGGCCAGGGTCCTTTGTGCGGCCTCCAAAAGTCCGTGTGTGCGTGGGATATGGGCCTTTGTGTGGATCCGTGGGGAATCCTGGGGGTCTTCGTGAGGCCTCCCAGGGCCTCCATGTGCGCGAGGTCAGGGGGCCTACGGGCTTTCATGCGGATTCCCAAGGACTCCGTGCACAGTGGGATTTTGTGTGGGCCCCGGGCGCACTGGTGTGCATGGGGCCAGATGGGCCCTATGGGCTTTCGTGGGGTCCCTCAAGGCCTCCATGCGCACAGGACCAGCGTAGCCCTACGGGATTTCATACGGCCCCCTGGGCCCTCCATGCGAAAGGGCGGCGAGGGGGCCCTATGGGGTTTCCTATGGCCGCCCAGGGCTTCGCTGCGCATGGGGCAGGGGTGGAAACATGGGGTTTTGTGCAGCCCCTCGGTGTGTCTGCGCACATGATTCTATGCAGGCCCATGGAGGCTGCAGGAAATCCCGTAAGGTCCCGCAGCCCAGTGCACACGGAGGCCCTGGGAAGCCGCACGAAAGCCTGTAGGGAACTCTGGCCAAGGGTGCACAGAGGCCTGGGGATGCTGCTCAAAAGCCTGGTGAGCCCTGGGGACTAGTGCACGTGGAGGCCCGGGGAGCCCACATGAATGTGCGGAGGGCCCCGGGGGCCACGTGCATGTGGAGGTCAAGGGAGGCCCGGGACCCTGGGGACACGTGCGCATGGAGGCCCTGGGAGACCACACAAATGCCTGGAGAGCCCCCGGGGCCACACGTGCATGGGTGCCAAGGAGGCTGCTTGAAATCCCAGAGGACTCCTGGGGCCATGTGCACATGGAGGCCAGGAGAGGACACACAAACAGGCAGAGAATCCCATGTGGGACGTGTGCACGGAGGTTCGGGAAGGCCCCACAAAAGGCTGGAGTGCCTCTGGGGACATGTGACCACGGAGGCCCTGGGAAGCCACATAGAAGACCGGAGGTCACTTGGAGCCATAAGCACATGGAGGGCCGGGAAGGCCACATGAAAGACTTCAGGGCCCCTCTGCCAGCTTTGTATAGAGCCTTGGGGAGGCCGCACAAAAGCCCAGAAGGCCCCGGGGGCCAGGTACTCACGGAGGCCAGAGGAGGCGACAGGAAAGCCCAGAGGGCCCTCAGGTTGACGTGTGCATGGAGGCCCAGGGAGGCTGCATGACAGCCTGGAGTTCCAAGGGGCCACATGTGCACTGAGGCCTGGGGAGGCCGCACGAATGCTCGGAGGCCCCCCCAAGCCACGTGTGCATGGAGGTCTATGGAGGTCACAGGGAGGACCAGGGAGGCTGCACGAAAGCCTGCAGGACCCCAGGACCACATGCACATGGAGACCCAGGGAGACCACAGGAAAGCCCTGAGGCCCCCAGGGCCATGTGCGCACGGAGGCCTAAGGAGCATCCACGAAAGCCCGGAGGGCCGCCAGGAGCAGAGCCCATGGAGGTGTGTGGAGGCTGCACAAAAGCCTCGAGGGTTTCCAATGCCACATGCGCACAGAGGCTCGGGCAAGACGCACGAAAGCCTGGAGTTCCTCTGGGGCTATGTGTGTACAGAGGCCGGGGAGGCTGCACGAATGTCCGCAGGGCCCCCAGGGCCACGTGCCCAGCAAGGCCCGGGGAGGCTGCACGAGTGTGCGGGGTGTCCTTTGGGCCACAGGCGCACGGAGGCCTGGGGAGGCGGCACAAATGCCCGGAGGTCCCCCAGGACCCCATGTGCACAGACGCCCTGGTAGGCCACACAAAAGCCCAGAGGGCCCCCGGGGCTGTGTGCGCATGGAGGCCCATGGAGGCCAGAAGAAAGCCCAGAGGGCAA